TTGTTTTGGGGTGGAAAAGGCCAGGTGCTGAGCTCTCAAGCTGAGAAGCAGGAAACACTTGAAAACAGGTTAGAAAGACAGTAAACACACAACTCCAGTCACTCAGCAAACCACCACTTCCCAAAGGCATCAGGATTCAAGGACCTCAGCATGAGAACTGCTCCTGCAGTTCTCACAGACCCCAAACACCTCCATCTATATGAACCACTCAAAGCCCTTGTACCAAAGCACCACCAAGGTCAGCTGAAATCAAACCAGACCCCTCTGGCAAGAATCAGAAGCCCAGCAGGAGGGCAGAGCTCAGCTCCAGCCAATCCAGGATATCAGGACCCATCCTACACATCCCCTGGGTGTGCAGCAAATCCCTCCAGCACCTCATACCCAACCATACAGGAACCAACAGCAAGAGGAATCCAGAGGTTTCTGATTTTTTGAACAAGCTACAGCCGTTCCAGGCACTCTTCCAGCCACATCTAATGGCGTTTTAACACTTAATAACCTGTTTTCCTCTGCTAATCCCCTGCAGCAGCAAACTCCACCACCAGGACGTATATCCCTACCAAATCCAGCCTGGGGGACCACTGCCAAATCCCTCCTGGCTGCACTGCCAGCACCAGGACTGCAGATTCTGGTACTTTTTCAGGATCAGCCCCCTGCCCCTTAACTCTGGCAGTAAAACAACCCCAAGAAAGATGCTTGGGAAAAAAAAGAAACACTGAACATCTTAAATTCTAAAGAGCAGGAGAGAAGAGGGCACAAACAACTCAATCTCATGAGTCTAGAGCCCTTCCCGAAACATCTCCCACATTCAAAATTTATAGACCTATCTGTTCCCTTTTTTATCTACATCTTTGTTTGCAGAACAAATTCTCTCGGTGGCCATTTCAAAACAAAGGAACCTTTGTCTGTGTTTACTTGACAGCAGCGGATTAGGATAAAATAACTTGCATTTCAGAAGGCTTTTTTTTATTTATTGTCAAGATGCAAAGCCTCTGCTGCATCGAATCACCAAGCAGAGAATCCATCTGAGGAATGATTTCTGGCACACACTGAGAAACTTGGCTTTTGGAGACAACCGCCAAGAAAGGGATTCACATACAAAAATCAAATTTTAAATGGGATTAACTTTTGGACTGTGACATTATCCATTTCTCCTTTTCATGCTCCTGCCTCACATCTATCTTTATTTTGGTTATGATCGGCTGCTCGCACAGCTGAGAAGCCAAGAAAGCCCTTGGCAGGGCGGGGGTATTTTCATGTTTCCCCTTGGATTGCAATATCTGAGGTTCAGGGTTGGGCTGGCCAGGACACCCAGGGAGAAACAGGAACAGCCCCAGCCGAAACTGGACCGTGAGCTTTAGCATTTACCCACAACACAAAGGATCTCTTGGATGCAAACGATTTTCAAGCAAGTGATTTTTTGACACCTCCTGATACTCTGCAGCCACCCCAGCCCTGCAGGCACTGAAGCACAGGGGCAGCTTCCCCTGCACAGCATCAATGCTGAGCTTGGCAGGACATGTGGAAACAACAAGCAGCACAAACAGCCACAAAAGCTGGGATCAGCCCCAGGAAGGACCACAGGACCTGACACTCACTAGCCAAAAGCCTACCCTGCTAAAGACACCAGCTCTGCTGGTAGAGCAGCCCACCTCAGAGTGCCTGGGAGAGGATGCTGCCAGCTTCCCTGCAACATCCAGCAGTTAATGAATAATGCCCAGAAGGGGCCATAAACCCTGTGCTTCGATGAGTCCAGGTGGAGCAGGGAACAGCAGCAGGGATCAGGCTCCTTCCCCACCAGGACCCCAGTCCCAAAAGATACTTAAGCCTGGGCACGGCAAACATGAGGCCACACACCCAGAACTCCTCCAAAGCCATCAGCCCTGAACCTGTCCATGTTTGTGGGAATATCAGCCTGATCTCCCCACACCAAGGGCTGATCGGCCCAGCAAAATTAACCTGCTCCTCTGAGCTCACCCTCAGCCCAGCACTGTGCATCTAACAGCAGCAGTAACCACCAGGAATATTTCTGGGGTTTCCTTGGGATCCACAACACGTGTTAATTAAATGCCAGTTTGTTATTCAAAAAGACCTTTTGAGACTTCACAGCACTAATAAGCAGCATATCCACTTCTGTTCCCATCCCCCTGACTTCGACGTGCATTCCCACCCTCCTCCACGTGATCTCCGCACTCCTACAGCCAGGAAGGACCTCTGGAGTCGCTTCCCTGACCTCCTGCTCCAAACAGAGGGGGTCAGACCTGCCCACAGCCTCACGTGAGCCAGAAGTGTTCTCAGAGTCCCCAAGGATGGAGTTTCCCCAGCTTCCCGTGGGCTTTGACTCCCCATTTCCCAGTGCACCAGTAAGGCTGCCCAGTGCACATCATCCTTCCTGACTTTTTCCATGGGTGTGATAGTTGGCTTTTCCAGCCACCAGAGCCTCCCCCAACAGCCACCTTTCACAGGTGACAGAGAGGGGTCTGTACTGACATTAGAGAGCTCCTGCCTTGTGCATGTCCTGAGGCCTTGGTCCCGCTCTGCTCTGGGGGTTGCTCACCCCATGTAGCTGTTTGCCCTGTGGGACAGCCAGTCCCTATGTATCAGTGTCACAGGAAAGGCTGAGCCCAGTGTTAAAGAGCTAGAAAAAAACCTCTCAGGTTGCACCTGCCAAGTCCTGAGGACAAAGAATACAACTCTCCTCCAATCTGGCATCCTTCCTCCAGAGACAGGAGAGAGGATGCTTTGTGTTCAAAAACAGTGTGTGAGACCATGAATGAGCCATACCTCCCCCAATAAGAAACACAGCAACAGCCAAATGTGCAGCAATTTATCTGGAAGCAATACTTTGCTTGCCAAATCCACAGAATAAAGGAAAAAAATTGGTTTTACACTGAAATTTTGAGCTTTCTAACAAAGCGGGACTTGCCTTAGCCAGTTAGAAACCTAAGAGACCAAAACCCTGAAAAATTAGAGGACCTGGATTATGATTTACTTTTTTTCTTCTTTAAATGAGACCAACCAGGCATTACCAGAAGCAACATTCAACCTGCACCACCTCAGAGCAAAGCAGCATCTCCCCTGACCAGCCAGGCTGGTGCTCACAGCCCTCAGCACAGCTGAAGGGGCTCAGTGCAAGGAAGAGAACCCCTTTACATACCTTGATTTAAGCACCTGAAGCAGTAAGCATGAAGAACTCAAAGGTGAGAGCCTGAAAAAGGAGGTTTCTAGTGATCCAGCTCCAGCACTGCACTGACATTGTGCCCAGTGAACAAGACACAGGCAAGGATGGAATCTGTGCACTCAAAGGTCTGGGTTAAACTGATGACAAGAATAAAGATGGGAGAACTATTCCACTCCAAGGTATCCAGAGAAGGGATAAAGAGATGAATAATTGCCTTTTTGCCATCATTTCACCCCAACTTTAAGGTCCTTTGGGGTGACACCAGGTGCTTCTGCAGGTTTCTGGAAACCTCTGCTGCTCATTGCAGCACAACCTGTGCCACCTCTCAGCTATGCTGGTCCCACAGTTAATGAGTCCCTCTTTGCCTTTCTTCTAGTTCTCTGCAAACTCCTTGGGGACACTGGAGCTCTCCTGGGACAGAGAGCAGCTATAACAGTGACACCTTTAATTTCAAACTAAGGAATCTTTTCAGGACCCATCTCCTCAAAAGCCAGGTCTGGAGGAGGCAGTGGTCTGGGGGCTTCTGCCCACTGTCCTCATGTGCTGCTTTTCATCCTGAGAAGGAAAAAATCCCCTATATCCAGGTTCCACTCACCAGCCACCCCAGGACTGTTCTTGGAATGGGTACAGAGACATTAACACAGTACCACCTTCCTTAGAGGATCAGGTCCCTTGACTGTGCCAAGACATGCAGAAATAACAAAAAAGCACTGATCCTGCAACCTGCTCCAGCTCAGGCTGAGGTCACCAGGAAAACACCAGTCCCTTGGAGAAGGGGTTTAATGGAGCTGGTGATGGGATTAGGGGAGCAGAGGGGGAAGAACACCAGCCACCATCCATAGGGAGAACACAAACCAGCTGCCCATTCATCTCTGAAAATCAGCTAAGCAGTTCAACAAGCACTATCCAACTTCTGGAAACCACCACTTTAGTCTTCTACTCCTGTAAGGAAGCAACTAGCACTTCCTCCAGCACCAAAAGGAAAGGATTTAATGTCCCAAAATCACATTCCAGGTGAGGCTGTGGAGCTCAGATCCCTCCATGCTTTTGGTACAGAGGAAGAGGAGGCCATGGTGGCCTGACCAAGCCTGCTCAGCAGAGTTCCAGCTGGGAATTTCCCTCTGTGCAGTTCAGTCGACTGGAATCACAAAGGAAAAGTCAGGGGAAGCTCAATTCCTGGCAGCAGTGCCCTCCCAGAGCAAGGGCAGGACATGACCCTCCCACCACAGAAGCTGTCTGCTGAGCTGACTTCATGTCTCGCCAAAAGAGGTGTTTTAAAAAAATGTAACAGAACACACACTTGCTAAAAATCGGATTATTCTTTTCTATGTTTCAGTACATCCGCGAAACCACAAAGGCCTTTTTATTTTCCCTTCCCTAAGAAACAATTTCCACTCCCTGCAGACCAAAACTGCTCAAAACCACTGACCCCTCCGAGCACCTGAGCCAAATCCTCCACGTGTCAGACCAGGTGCAGCCCATGCTACCCACACTGCTGCCAGCTGAAGGTCTAATCCCACTGTTTCCACATCCCTCTGCTGTGAGCCAGGGTCAGTACCCACACTCCAGCACTTGTCCCCACTGTGTCACACCTCTGGATGTGAACACAGCCAGGTTTTAGACACGTGACTGCAAAGTGCCCCACACCATGGCAAGAAGGGCCAACAGGACCCTGAGCCATCCTGACGTTCCTGAAACGGGCCAGGAGGGACCTGTGGGAATGGAGGATCCAAGCACCATCCTCCTGCATCCTTGGCAGGATGGACACGGAGCACATGGAGCATCCCATGGGACAGGATGGACGTGGGGCTGCACTTACCTTCGGTCCGGATGGTGAAGGGGGAGTCCCCCAGGCGTTTGGCAGAGAACTGCCCTCCCAGAGAAGTCATCAGGAAGCACAGGGTAAAAAATCCAATGCCCAGCACGAAAATCCTGTGGGAGAGAAAGTAGAGCTGGAGGTGTGATGAGGAACCAGCTCACTCCTGGGCCAGTTCTACCACCCTCTGCGCCTGGGGTAACCCCTCTGCAGGAGCCGCTTTGTTTTGGGGTCTATGGGACCATCCCAACCTCCCAACTGCTCCATCCCCATGGGTCACTCCACTCAGCACAGGCAAGGAGCATCTCTGCAGCCCCAGTCCCACGAGAGCACACCAGCACCTCACCCCAACCACGGCCAGACCCACCCGTGCTTCACGAGAGCCCCAGGGGGCTTCTGCCCAAACCCTGGCACCGAGCAGGCAGGTTCTGCCTGAGAACACCCTCTGAAATCCCTGCAGCCTGCTCTGACAGGCAGGCCCTGAAGGGGGACTGGAGAACTTGCATCTTCAGTGGGAAAGCTGAGCCAGACCACGACTGCCAGACCAAGATGCTCCACTAGATCCAGCCCAACAACCTCGACCGCAGGAACCACTACAATGAACAATACCCATGTTCCTCCTGGGAGAGTCCAGAGTAAAGAAAGGCCTTATACCTTCCCTTCCTCCCACAGGATCTAAAAAAAAAAAAAAAACCAAACCTTTTTTTTTTTTAAGTAAGATCTTTTGTTCCCCTGTAACTAGGCCACTGGCATTTGCCATTGTGTCTGGCACAGCCTGTGCAGCACGGGCAGATGAGGAGGGACCTGCACTGGCAGCACACACATGGCCTGGGACCATCCCATCACTGCTTTGTTCATCCAGGCTGCCAGGAAAGCAGCTCCCACAGGGACACACCAGTCAGGATGTCACCCTGCACGTCACTCCCGTCCGAGCTCGCGGTCACCTCCAGCTGCACGAGAAGCAGGAGCTCTCAACACCAGTCCTGCTCAGGCCAAATTCAGGCCAGTAACTTTTCGGGGAGTGAAAAGGCTGATGGCAAGAGCTCTGTGCAAGCAGGAGGGTTACTGTGCACCAGGGAGCATAAAGCAGAGCACACTGTGCCAAGGGATGGATGCCTGGCCTCCTTCCACTGCTCAGAGATGCTGCCGTCATCTCCGAGACTCGGTGGAGGTGCAGGATCCTCCAGCGGACACACGGGAAAAGCCCTGGCAGAGCCACTGCCAGGTGCCATGTACAACAGCTTCCAGAGCCATGGTGTACCAGGGATCCCAGCAAACCCAGGGAAAATTCTAAGAAGGTGAAGGAAAAAAGATATCTGCCAGGCAGCCTTGTGAAAAAACAGGTTTGTCGTCTGATAAATAAATCATATGTGGAACAGGGAGCTGAGGAAGACCTTAGGGGTGGTTACTGGCATTGCTTCCTCCCAGCAACCCTGAGCCAAAGGGAAGCAAACCACGGAGGGCAGGAACCAGCAACTCTCCTTTACAAGCTCACAGCATTATCCACAGGGCTCGGGAGCTCTGCACACAGACCCACAGCACAGCCACTCAACACCCAAACCAGGCTTTTCCAGAGAACAGCTTGCAAAGGAGCCCCCCATCTAAGCATTACTACATAGTTAAAAGGCAGAGGATTAGGAACCAGCCACCAACTCTGAGCTACAACGCACCAGCATGGCAATTATCTGCCGCTGAAAAGGGCTGGCAAATAAAGTGACCTCCTTCAAAGCCCTTGTTAGTGACAGGAGATGTTGTGAAGAGCTGATGTACAGGGTCAAGCAGCTCAAGAAGGACTGGGCTTCCTCAGGGAGATCGACTGGAGGAGCTCCCAGGGCAGCTCCCTACTGTCCCAGCACAGCACTGCCAGGCTTTCCTTGCCTGGAAAGACTCCTGGGCAGGACATGGCACCCCCACAGGACCCCAGGAGCTCCCTACCTCCATCCCACCAGCTCCAACGCTGCTGTTGAACAGACAATACACACAGTTGCAAGTTGCAGTGCAAGAACAAAGGGTTTCCTCTGCCTGCTCTGAGGAGGATCAGCCTTGCTCACAGCAGACAGGCACCTGACCCTGCTCCATCCCCCTGCTCCCATGGACCAGCCCTGCCCCATCACCAGCAGATCAGGGGCACCTGGCCATGGCTCTGGGGGAGCAGCACTGCAGCTCCCCACCCCCTTCTCACCTCTCACCTAACCAGGAGAAAAAGCAACACCCTGGGCTCGTCAGCATTAACAAGCTCTGACAGCAGCACACTCAGCACCAGTACAAACACTCCCTGACAGCCAGGCCGGGAGATCTGACCCACCTGGGAGAGGGGATGCTCAAGGGCATCACTAAAACTGCCTGACACCCCAGTGCAGGCACTCCAGGAGTGAAGCAGCTCAGGTCCCTTTCACTTCGGAATGAGCCTGCCCCGGAAGGGTGGAAAACAGTTTAAAAAAGCTATGTAAGTCTCTGCTAATCCGGACTCCCATCCCTAAAGGCCTGGCTACAGGCATGGCTGGAGTGCCCTACGAGCAGTGACTAGTGGAGCACAGCCATCCCCTCCCCAGCAGATGCTGATAAACCATCGAGCTGCAGCATCTGCACACAGAGATGCCCATGGACCTCAGCCCCGATCCCAAAGCAGACCTCAGAGCAGGGTTTCCAGAGAGCCGTGGTCCAGCTCCAGCACGGAGGTGATTGTGGAGGCAGCAGAGCATCCCTGATGCTGCAAAGCAACGTGGTGTCCCATAAATAGCTTGGAGAGGGGGTGATCTGGGGACATTAGTGCATTCCCATTATCACACCCTGTTCCCAGCCACACAGCACAGTGCTGGGTCTGGGGAAAAGGCTCTCAGGAACACAGTGGAGGGGTTTGCAGCACCCAGCTTGGCTTTGGAGGGCTGAATTTGTCCTTAGAGAAGCAGAGGGGGGCCACTGTCTGCCATGGCACTTCCCTGGCAGGACAGGACAACAGCACAGTGGAGAAGAAACAAGCTGAAGGAGGTCAAAGCCCAGCAATGCCCTGCGACCGAGGGTCCTCCCTGGGAGCACACCATGGCACAAAACCCACCCAAGGCCCCCTCCTGCTGCCAGCTGCCCCCTCCCCCAAGGGACATTTTAACACAGCATCACCTGACTAAGTGCTCTGATCTGATCTTGTTCTTTGCTCTCACCCCTCCTACTGACAATATCTTCATCATTATGCAAGACCTTGTTTACGCTTTTTAATCTTTGTAATTATACTCTGGCAAGGAGTGATGGTTAAACACCAAGCAAAAAGAAAGAGGGGAAGGGAAGTAAAAGAGGGAGAAAACAAAAAGGGGAAGGGAGGGAAAAGGTATAAAGGTGCTCTATTATCTCACTAGGAAACAAAACCTTTTTCATTTTGACTGGATTACACAGAGAGCAGGGGAGATGCAAGATGCTTTCTCACTAGAAAAAAAAAAAAAAGAGGGATAAGAGCCTAACTGGAATTGCTGTGTTTGGGAGAGAAGTGGATTGAGCCCAGCAGCAGTGCTCCAGGGAGCATGGAGGGTGCAGATGTGGACTCTCAGCCTGAGGACCCCATCTCTTTTACTTCTGTTGATCTTCTCCAGATGATTAAAAATGCTTGGCCGAGCCTTATCTGAGCAGTCTCTATATGCAGAAAAATACCATGAAGCAGGTAAAACATACCAGTCCCCAGATATTCCAAATTGTCCAAAGGCACTGGGTCCTCTGCCCCAAAATCAAGTCTGACTCCCTGAAGACTATGGAGCTCCAATGAACAGTAACATCTATCCTGCATGCTGGCTTTGCCTGTCATCCCACGTCACGTTTAATTCATCTCCCAGCACAGTTCTGGTGCCAAGTCCCTCTCCACATCCTCCCCAAACTGAAATGTTCACAGTTCTGGGCTCTGGCTTGGTGCCAAAAGAGAAGGAAGCCAAATTCCCTGAGCCTTTAGTGAAAATTGGAAGTGATGCCCAGTCGTGGCAGATTCTGGCCCATGGAACTGAAAGCTGGACGTGACCAGGAGGGTCTGAGCGCTGAGTTGGGAGGCAGTGGAGGGAGGAAGGCCAGCAGCACCCAGCAGGTGACACTGGGACTGTGTCCACAGTGCTGCATCACCCTGCTGGAACCCACAGGAAGAATATTACACAGATGCACAGGGGAAAACAAGGGCTACGGAGAACAGGTAACATCTTTTATTAAACAAGTTTTCAACACCCAAGTCTCTTAAGCCCAGAGGCTGAGCTACCATTCCTACAAGCAGCAGCAGTCAAGTTAATAAAAGATGATCCTTCTCCTGCAAACCTTTTTTTGCTCAGAGCCCAACAGCATCACAGCACTGCTGAACTGATGCTCAGCTGTGGGCATCGTCTTCCACAAAGGGGACCAGAGTGAACTCTCTCACTGATCAATGTTATATCACATGGAAAGCCCAGCTTTGGTTTCCAGCTGGCAAACTTGCCTGAACTCCCCAAGTTCTACAAAACCAAGAGCTGGGCGAGCTGGACCAGGGCTCCACAGTGAATTCGTGACTAAATCTGGCACCACGAAACACGCACGGAGAGATGTGCTCTCCCTTCCCTTCCCCTTTGCTGCAGGAGCTCTCGCAGCTCAGGGCTTTGCACTGCTTTGCTAAGCGTGTCTGGAGGGTGGTTAATGAAATGTTTTGGTGCAAAGGATCAGGTTTCCTGTTCGCTGTTTGACAGCAGGGCTGCCAGGAGTCTACACCAGGCAGGGGATCGCACCCCGGGATTCCCTGGAGCAGCCAGGCTTTGCCCAGCCAGAAACAAGGAACCGATTTACATCTTGATTGTCACAATCTACTCCCACTCCTGTAGGTGATCCACATCAGCTGAGAATGTGGGTGCTGATTTTAGGGCAGGGGGTGCTGATTTGTGCCAAGTTACTGCTGGAGCAGGGTAGTGCCAACACTTGCCCATGCTGGCTGGGAGCAAGGTGACACAGGACTGTGGCATGGGGGGGTGTGTCACACTCAGCATGACAGCAGCATGGAGGAGGTGCAGAGGTCCTGGACATTGTGGGACAGCAAAGAGATGGTCCTGAGAATTTCTCCTCTTACACAGGGAAAGCCTGATTTTTAACAAAGGCAACCCTGCTGGTTCCCATGGAACCGATACTGGTCTGTAATGGTTTGAGAGTAGAAGCCGGCCCAGGGCACACAGACAGGATGATGCAGGTCCTCCACACTGCTACAGACACCAGGGACCCTCCAGCCACCACAGAACTCTCATCCACACACATCCTCATCTCCAATGGGACCTACTGATCACCTTGTGACACGCTCCCTGTGCTCCCCCATCCTGATTCCAGGTCTCTGCTGAAGATGGGTTCCCCTGCTCCAGGGGTGATGTCCAGGGGACAGGGGACAGGGATGCTTAGGCCAGTCACTTCTTCATTATGGACTTCAAACCCAGTTAAGAAAGCAAATAGCCAAGTGAAGAGCCCCGAGCATGTGTGTCCTTCCCATCTCTCTCACAATTGTTCCCCACTCCACACTCAGAGCAAACCTGAGCCGTGGGGACCCTCACGCCTCTGCCACCACTTTCTGACATCCCCTTGGCCAAGTTCCCCAGTCCCAGGGCACTGCTGCGGGATCCAGCAGCAGGAATCCCTCCAGGCAAGCACTGCAGAGCCAGGCAGCTCCCGGGGACAGGCAGTCAGCACCTCCAGAGCGCAAAAGAGAGGCACAGCCCGTCCTCCCTGAAGCTCCGGGCGGTAGCCTGGGCTAAGGAGAAAGGCAGCGACCAGATCCCTCCAGTGATCCCAGATCTTCAAACACAGCGGGGAGCGCCGGCAACCGCTGGGCTGGGCTGACCCCACCTTGAACTTCGTCCCACGGCACCAGCCCCTCTGTGGGTTTTTGGTGCCTCTCGCCATAGAAAAACCCAGCAACTACCAGCGTCTCCCATGTGTCTCCAGCCTGGGAGTAACCCAGGAGCATCTACAGTGAAGCAAGAAAGCTGGAGAGCAAGGACTGGAGAGCGGAAGCGAATGCATGACGGCAAACACGAGGAGTTACACCAAGGGGAGAAAAGCAATGGGTCGGTACGGGTGTGCTGGAGCCGGAGGGTTTCAGGTTTGGATATCGACCCCAGCCCCGCTGCCCGTTCAGGGTGGGTTTCAAAATCCTCGTCGGCACCAGCAGGTTTAAACCAGAGGAACCAAAACCCCCGAGCGCCAACATCTCTGAGGACGGTATCAAAGAAGCCAGCGGCGAAGAGCCCGGTGATAACCCCAAAGACACCGGCGGGAGGGGTGAACCGGGGGCCGCCAGCCTGCGAGAGCTGCAGGACCCGCAGGTTGAGCCGCGGGCAAACCCGCCTGGATCCCTGACATCCTCCTCTGCGCCCAAGCCACACAAACACCCCCCGTCCAGCCGCAGCCCCCCACGATCCGCCACCCGCTTCCCACCCGCGGGAGCCGGGCGAGGCGGGAGCAAGGGAGAGAAGGAAACACACCAACTTTACCTAAAGGGTCTCAAGGTGACGAGACATCTTCTGACCATTATCTTCCCATCCGCGTTGACTGTGATCATCGTTCAAAGTTGCGGGGAGCGGAGGGCGGCCCCCGCACCCCCCCGACACGCTCCGAGGGGCTCAGCGGGCGGAGCGCGGGGCTCCGCGGGGGCGCATGGCGGGGTGCGGGTGGGGGGCACCTCCCCGCCCGCCCTACCCCTGCCCCTGCCCGGGGCCGGCCGAGCCCATGGCCGGGCCGCTCCGCTCCGCGCAGCCCCGCGCAGCGGCTCCGCTCCGCCCCGCACCGCCCCGCACCGCCCCGCGGAGCCTCCGCCGGGCGCCGCGTGCCATCTAGCGGCAACCCGGCCCCGCGGAGGGGGTGCCCGGGCCGGGGGGGTGCCCGGGGAGGGGGTGCGGCAGCCCCCCGAGGAGAAGGGATGGCGTTCTGGGGGGAGGATGGCCGGTTTTCGGCGGAGAGCGCGGCCGCATCCCGGTGCGGGTGACCCCCGGCGTGGGGACCTCGGGAGGCGGGGATGGCCCTTTTTGGCAAAATGGGGTAGGGGAGTCAACCCAGAAATGCCACTCCCGCGGGTCCTGTTTGCTTTTGTAGGCTTTGGGAGCAGGGCAAACCTCTTTTCTTAGGAATGGGTGTTCTGGACTCTGGCTCTGACAGCATCAGCCTGCGGCTTTGCAGCCCCATCACCCTCTTTTTCTTTCCGGGGGGCAACAGTCACAGTCCATGATGTGGCTTCCCAAAGTCCCCAGACACTCCTGGTTGCTGCCAAAAGGACCAGGGTGGTGTCCTTGGGAAAGACAAAGGGGCCGTGAGAGCTGAGGCGGGAGGAGCAGCTGCTGAGCTCAGCAGAGGTGTTCCCAGCTCTCCCGGGAAAGGTGACAGGCACAAAAAGCCTCCCAAAGCTTGGGACTTAAAGGAGCCAAATGTGCCCAGAGCTTATGGAGACATCCCCCTCACCAGGGGTGAGGGAGGGGATGCAGCACCCTGGGGGGAGCACACGATTGCAGAAAGCTGGGAGGAGGACACGGTTCCTGGTGTGCTCATCTGGCCACACTCCAGGACAGGACCAAGGGGAAGGCTGTGGTTTGGGGGGGCTGTGGTGCCAACAGGGCCCCCTCATGCCATGCTGACCCCATGGCTGGCTGCCCCTCTCTGCCCACCACCACAAAGCACAGGCTGACACTGAGGCAAAGCTGCCCCTTTGCCTTCCCTATTGCAGACACTCTCCTCCCGTGGTCTTTCCCAGCACTTCTCCATCCGTTCTTCCCAGGGCAAGAAACATTCCTCTCCAGCCCCACCTGCCTGGAATGGCTCAGCAATCTACCCCCCAAGTGCTGAGCAATTTCAACACCCTCCCGTCTCCAACAATCCCCTCCATGTAAACTAACCGTGGGTTCCTTTGCTTGTGCACAATCCTAGTGTTTTCCCATGAGGCTGATGAAGGGGAAATGCTGCTGTTATGTTCTGATTTCCATAGGGATCCCAGACACTCACACTGCTTCCTTCTCCCTGATGGAAACCAGGGGAGGCTTTGGTCATCAGGGCTCTGGGGAGCATATGCTTCAACATCATCAGCCACAGCTGGAAATGTACCACGAAACAGCACTTTCTCCTCATGAAACAGCAAATTTTTTTTCAAGCAGAAGTGAGAAGCAAAACCGTATTCTTTAGGGCTTCATAAATACAGAAGGATTTTTGTGTTCCCCCACAGGGAAGGAGTCATTGCCGCACTGGGTCTGAGCAGGATAACAGTGGGCTAAGGCAGACAGGCTGAGGATTGGCAGGAAATGTTGATCAGGAACAGCAGCCAGCCAAATCCAAACCCTCGGGTCAGCTCTCCCTGAGCTTCAATATGGGCAGCCCAACCTCTTAGCAAGGACACCCTTCTCTGTAGCCCATCCTGTGTGGACCTAATGGATGCAACCACTGCATGGACAGATCCAGCTGGTGTGTTCAGTCCTTGCCATTTTAGGTGCAGTTGGGAGCATCTGGCCTTCTCTGCAAAAACCACCTGGTTTTCTTCACCTGGTCATTGGGCAAGGAGAGGAGCACCAGGCTGATGAAGGGCTGTGGGGATCCTGCCACCTCTGATCTCCTTGCTCCTGATTGCTCCCCCGCTTTCCAGCTCCTGCTGCTCTGACAGGACACTGTTAGTCCCCATCTGAGCTGTATATCACCTAAAACCTGGTGTTTCTTACTTGCTGCCCTCAAGAGCCCAGCTCCAGCTGGCAGCAGGAGGCAGAGCCCTTCATTCTGAGATCAGCCAGCTCAATGGGGCTGGAAACCTTCCAAATGCACATAAACACACTGCATGGAGTGGTCAACTGAGCAGCCAAATCGCTTCCTCCAGTGTGCCAGGAGCCAGCTGCACCTTCCCAAGAGGCTGGGAGGAAAAAATATCATCCCATCCCAGGGAATGCAGAGCAGGAGGCTACCAGAGCTCCAGCGTGGGATGAATTCTGTGGGGTGAGATCCCCCCACTCACCTCCTTAAGGATAATGCCAAGGTCCTTCTTTGCATCCCACAGGTTCTGGATCGTGCCAAGCAGCAGCTCTTCCCCGAGGCCAATTGCAGGAAAAGGCTGGGCTATGGCAAGTACTACACACAGATTTTTTTAAGATTTAGGGGTGAGTGATATTGAGGGGGAGAAGGGACCATGGAGGAAATGGTGTCTCCCCATTCCTCCCTCCAGGGCTGATCCTGGGCTGGAAATGGCCCCCTGAGGGCTGTTTCTTGGGCAGCAGAAAGCATGTCAGCTACCTTGGCTTCCTCCAGGTGCCTCCTGCAGCATCAGCCAGGAAACAATATCAAATAAAGTAACATAACCAAAAAAAAACTAAAATACAGAAATATGCTCTTGGCAATCTCCAGGCACATCCTGGCAGGGTGCTGGGGCCAGCAGGGAGCAATGGCACTTGCAGTGCTGGCCAGGGAGCCAGGCAGAGTTACCTCTGCTGCTCCTGACTCCTGCCAGAATCATCCATGCAGGATTCATCACCCATGGACGGGAGTGTGGCATTTACTGCACCCTCAGGGCCCTTGTCCCTGAGGAGAAGTGCTGCAGCAGACAGTCCTTTCCCTGTGCTGCTGCTTGAAACAAAAGCTTAATTAACTACCAGCTCACTGTCTGTTTAGAGGGATAAATCTAAAATCCAAGGATGGTAATAAAGCAGTGAATTATCTTCTTCAGCAGCTGAGAAGCAATGGCCCCAAAAATCAATATGCTGAAGTTATACTACGCACACAAACACAACACACACACACACACACACACACACACACTACACACACACACACACATGTTTGTTATTCCAAATTCAGCAGCAGCAGGGAATGGAGAGAACCAACTCAGCAGCCAGCTGGTACAAAAGAAACCAGTGTTCCACCAGTTAGAGCCCCTGCCCAGCCAGAGGTAGACCTGGAGCATCTCCAGTACGGGCTCCAGCACTGCCTGTAACTGGGGCAGGCCAGAGTTCCAGCTCTGACACCGGAGCACCCGCTGGCAGCCAGGACTCACCTGCACCACTGGCCCAGCAGAAGACCTGGGGAAATTTTCAACTGATCTTGAGTAGCCGTGTTACCATGAGTCCCAAAGCTCCCTAAGGAGACATCGCTGGGCAGAACACAAAGGTTGAGATCACCACAGCTGGAGAAAAGAGGTTATGAATGCAGGGTGGGCTGTTACCCATCAGAAATAAAGCTTAAAATATCATAGTCCTGCAAAGGGCACAGACAGACACTCATCACTGCTAAGCTGTGGGCACCTCCAGACAAACCACACTGACAGGATTTATGTTGGCTTTTGGTGAGTGATGCCCATGTGCCAGGGCTCCAAAGTCATCCCGGGACCCTCCAGAGACTCCACACTCCAGCCTGAGAGTCCAGCTGGGGAGCACTTGACTTCAGTGCTTTCCAAAGCCTGGGGGATGGATCTGCCCAAGTTTCTTCTTGGAGCCTCCTCTCAAGCCTCAAGGTACTTGGTCTTTGTGGAAAAATAATGATCCTGGAGGGGAAGAATCACAGCAAACCACCAACTGTAATGTGCTACGACAAGCCACTTCCTTAAGTTCTCCTCGCACACAATCTTGCCCTTGAGGTAAGAGATATAATTTGATTGCAGGAGCTGCAATGCCCAAATGCTCTGGGCATAAGATCACTTAGTCACCACAACTTCTCCGTGCCCCTTGAGCGACATTGCTGGGGACAAGGAGCTCTTTATTGATATAGAACAACTTCTCTCCGTCACTGGCTCACCCTCAATTACTGCATTCACGCCTCTGCCCATCTCTGTAGCAACGAGGCGGAAAAGCTCCAAGCCTGGTACAGACCTCCCTCACTGCTGAGCATCACCAACCACTTTTGGCTGTGCTGGGGGCTCCCACAGGCACTGGAGGGCTGGTACAGGCAGCCCTGCTCCACCCCTGCTTTCTGCCTGTTCCCAGGGGCAGCAAAAACAGCCCTAAATTTGCTCATAGGTTGGTGTTTGGAGAGAGCACCGAGCAAAGGGCAGGGAGGGGGTGGCAGTGTCCTGAAGCCACCTTTGCACCCCCATGCACGGGATAATCAGGAGCTCTCCAAGACTGCAGAGGGGGACCAAGAGAAACCAGGAGGGACTGTGGCTGATGGGGCATCTCCAGCAGCAAGCAGACAAATGGCCTTGCTGCTGCCAGGGCATTGAACCAGCAGGTAGTGAAGACTCATCCATGGGCTTAGAGTCCCTGCGACAGCAGCCTCCAGAGGATGCTAAAAGGCAGTGGTGAGAGGGCACTTGGCACTACACTGAGGAGTGTTTTACCCACTGTGAGGATCCCCAGGGCACTTCTCTGGTCCCTGGGGCTGTTTTCTGGTCCCTGGGGCTGTTCCCTAGTCCCCAGGGCTGTCTGCATGGCTGAGGTGTCAGCAGGGTGCAAGGTAACCCCAAGCAGAACTGATCTCTACCCCCTCCTTCCCTGGGACAGCAGTTGGGAAGCCAGTGGTGATGTACAGCACCTCTGCAGTGCCTGAAGGTCAGAGCCAGCAGCATCCCCTGGGTACAGGGTTAGAGGCTGGTTGCAGCCCTCAGAAGCCAGGCTGGATTCTCGGAGCTCACCGGATTGTCCGTGGCACTTGGGGAGCAGGAGGAGTGTTCCAGCCCTCGGATCACCACGGATGCTGCAGCCCATGGTGCTGGCAGCACAGCACAGGACACACGGTTCTGGTGCTCAGGTACCTGCTGGAGGTGCACAGCCAGGT